GAATGTTGAAATTCTACAGCAAACAATACGTGTTACTCGCATCTTGACATTTTGGAGTTAAACTGCATTGTTTAATATACGTTTTTAATAATCATACGGTATTCTTCATCTGAAACATAAACACGTATACAGCTTTGAGAATATGAAATCAACGTTTCGATTATCAGGCCTTATACAAATAACATAAAAACACATCTTTGAACAGAAGTGAACACCTTGAATCATCATCATGTATGGTCAATCCACTGCTGGATGAAGGTCTTCCCAAGCCGCCACCAGCTCTCAACGATCCTCCTCGTTGAGAGCTGGTGGCGGATGCAACGGACCCGTTGCATCCGAGCTGATTCCATTGCTCCGTCTCTTTGGCGGAAGTGAGAAAAAAGGGCTGTTATGACTTTTTGTTCACGTGAAATTCATGGTGCTGTTTGGTTATATATTTTTGTACGTGATTGTTGGCCAGCGGCGATTCGAGGCGCGCGGATTTACAATGAAGCCATGCTGAGCATCAGCGTTATGGTGATGATCATCAGCTTCGTGGTGTTCACGGTGCTGCAGTACAACAAGTGAGTGGTGTGCGGGGGGGGGGGGCACAGCCCACGTGAGCCAACGCATTGCGCGCTCACGTTGAACTCAGCAAATATTCACGGGTGAAAGAAGGAATGACGCTCCAACCGAAAATGTATTCACAAACGATGCTGCCGTGGTTGTACTGGTGAGACGCCAGATTCTCCCATGCAGTTACTGGAAACATTCAATCATGAATGAACAAATTTGCTTTTAATCATCTAATTGACAATAGCTTACAGCGCAATTCAAATATTGCATAACATTCTACTGCAGCGGTTTTATGGTTAGCATACTGGACTTGCAATACAGAGGTCATATGTTCGATTTCCCGGCGTGGCAATTGAAACGATTAACTAAGTTTCCTAAATTACCCACCTCTGTCCACTCATCTTTAGAAATGGGTTTTGTAAATACACTTTTTTGCTGCTGCTATTATTATCAGTGAGCAATTGTGCGATGTGTTTCAAAATGTAACCAGCTGACAGCCAGCACACTCAATAATTGTGCCACTGCCCACTGCTTTTGTGTCGCCAGGCGGAAAGTGAAGGCTGCTCGTAGACAAAAGAGCGCGAGTTTCTCGACAACGAGATCTCCCGGTGGGTCTGTCCACCATGGTGAGCACAAGGTTTTCACCTGGTCAACAGACTCTACCCTCGAGGGTGGTATCCCTGGCGGAGACAACGCCAACCTCAACATCACCAACCTCAACAATAACAACACCAAAACCACCACCATCGCCAACACCACCAACAGTAGTTCACACTGGGCCAGTCTGGGGAGTGTAGTGTAGCATGGGTTCATTTAAAGTCATTCGTACTAATCTCTTTCGTATAAACGTAATTGTGATATAGGAAAAGAAACTGGAATCTGCTGCCAGTGGCTTAGTTGTTAGCGCTTTCTCCACTAGATGGGGGCACGCATCACACGCAGCTCCCCCAGGGCAATTGTTGTGGTGGGAGCCCATCACTGGTGGAGCAGCATGATCACCACGCGTTGCATTTGTGTTCACGTAATTATCAATTAGCCCACCTGCAGGCGTTGTCTATCACCCGAGGCTGGAAAGCCCATAGTGGATTTTGTTGCCTCCTCAACATAGAGCCATAATCCTCCACATAGTAATGTTATAGCTATGAAGAAGGGTCATTGCCCGAAACGTCATCTCATCATTTTTCATTTCAGGGCATTCTTATTGACGAATGCGTTGATTTTATTTTCCTTTGAACTGTTGTGGCTGCGGGTCATGGGCGGTGAGCTTAAACCTCATAAAGTGATAAGGCTGCAATGAGTTTTACACGGACAAATACATGATTCAGTTGTGCCGCATGGACCTAGGTTCAGCTTTTTCCGTAATGTGTTCACTTTCACTGGGAGAGGGTGTTAATGGTGCATGCACGGTGAAGAAGCAGGGTTTGTATTTTACTTACTTCCCCCCAGAGTTAAGAATTTGATGCCAGAATGAGAATCGAGCACAAAGTTATATCTTTAATAAAAAGTGGACTCACTCCCCCGCGTAATTTGGCACTAAGATATCCAACAGGGATTTGGTAAAGTTGGTAGGATGCGCATGACACATTTATGAGCAGAGAATAGTGAATACCTGAAAGAAATGTAAAGAAAATCACATTTTAGTGACATACTACTGCAATACAATAGAAGTTTTTTTTGTTACATACAAACTTAAATTTGGAAGTAAATACGAAAAACAACAAAAAAGCATTTGCCTGCATCAGTAATAGAACGAATTATTGAATCCATGCCGATGTTGTGTTAAACATTAAAACACTCGTGTTAAAACACGGGATCAATGCACGTTTATAACCTACACGTATTTAAAAGTACGGCAGACAATTCAGATTTTTAAACACCCAAAATATTTGAAATGTTATGACAATTGGTACTAACTGCACGTGTGAGTTGTTGGGCAATTAGAAGATTGACGTAGTTATATAATTACTACGATCATCTCACTCATTCAGTCGTCAAACAATGAGGAACTCTTGGTTTGGTGGAAAGAGGAAGCGTGAATATTATATATTAAGAAGCATAACTTTCTGTGATTATAATAGCGGTAATAAACATGTTTTTAAAGGCGGTCTAGAGAACGCCGCGTGTGTTTGTAATTGTGTGTACACGGGAGACATTGAATAAAAATGGAAAATTTCAATTTTAGATTAAAGGTTTATATTTTTGGTTGTGAGAGCTACGGTAATCAAATGGATATTTAAGGTATGGCATTTCTTCGGAGTGATTATGTCAAAACCATTTCCGAAATTGCCGAAAGTGTCTCAATGCTGCTGAAAATATGCACTTCCAGAAAGCCGTGAGGCTGATGAGTTGTGTAGAAACAAGTTGTTGCTGCTGCTATTATTATTATAAGTGATCAATTGTGTGATGTGTTTTAAAATGTAACAAGCTGACGTCTATGTCATTGGTTCTTTCGGTAAAGTCACGTAGAAGGGAAATAATCACTGCAGTCACGAAAGCTTTAAATCGAAAGCTGACGTCTATTCAGTTCATGGAAATTCCCACCATGCAGTTTCGGACACTCGGTAAAAAAAACTGTTCAGGATTTCATTGTTTTCCGATTGTGTTTTTTAATGGCGTGTCAAGTGTTTTATTGCAATGTCATATATTTTTTTTACTCTGATTTACAACGCTTTGAGATTTCTAATGTAAAAGGCGCGCTTTATAAAATTGAGTGGAGATGTTTGGCTTGAAGGTGTCACAGCGTCCACACAGTAACACTCCGTATGCCCTCTGTAGGTATATGTGTGCATAGCATATTGAGTTTCTGCGGCAAGCCTTGTGGACAGCCTTCGAATGCATTTCCCCATACGCGTATCCACTGGATTTGTCTCGTCTCAATGATGGACTTGCTCACCTGCATCATTTATGAGAAGAGATACCGATATCCACACCTGCCAATCTGCCCATCATGCGATACGTTAGGCTCAATGGACCAGTGACAAGCGACGTCTGGACTGTTATCATTGAGTTTGGTGAATAAAAGCATTGCCACGATTCAAATGGCAACTTAACATTTTACACGAGAGCGTAATTCAATTAACAATTAAACAAAATAGCTCAATACCACGGTGGCCTAAAAAGTAACAATGACCCTTCATAGCAAAGAAATACAATACATAAAAGAATGGCCTTTGCCGGAAATGTCATCCAATGACCGCATGTACAGTATATGTATTTCATATTCAGGGAGCGTTGACATACGTGATTAGTTTTGTTATTCTGTGCACCACTGCGAACACAGCGGCATCATCATTATGAACTTATTAAATGTGTACTTCTCTACGTTATATGTATTCGGTCACTTGCTAACATTACCACTCCTATCGGTTTGTTTCCGTATTGTTCGTTGTTTGTAACTTGCTGACACGGCGCCATACTGGACCCATCTGTGAAAAAAAGAGCTTCATAGCTCATCGGATTCCTCCTGGAGCCCTCCAAAGATTCTGACCACCACGTGATTTTTAAAAAAATATCTTATCTCATTTTTATCTTACGTGATAAGATTTTTTTTTAAATCGCCGCGTTTTATTTGTACGTATAATTTTAAAGTGATTCGTTTACCCTTCCTATACTTTGCACTCCTATCGTCGTTAATTGATCGTTCGTTGTGAAATATCTTCACAGCTTTTCGGATCACTCCTCCAATCCCAGACGAACTCATCCGACCACACTCTTAGGTTTTTTCAGTAAAGTCGCGTAGGTAAAAATAAAAATAGATAATAAAAATAATAACAGAAATAAAATAATAAATCACGACGTTTCGGAGGCAACACAAGTCTCCGTCATCAGGTGGGACCGTCACAGCTAGATTTACTGCATCAAGTGAGGACAAATCCAAGAGACAAGCTCTTAAATACAATTTCGATTTAAAGCTTTCGTGACTGCAGGGATTCATCTTCTTGATTCTTTCGGTAAAGTCACGTAGAAGGGAAATAATAAAATAATAAAAATACAACATAATAAAATAATTCTCACGACGTTTCGGCCACAACGCAAGCAGCCGTCCTCAGGTGAAAACCAGGTCTGTCGAGGCGACAGCGTCTTAAAGTGATTCAGACTCTGTCGCCTCGACAGACCTAGTTTTCACCTGAGGACGGCTGCTTGCGTTGTGGCCGAAACGTCGTGAGAATTGTTTTATTTTTATTTTATTACTTCCCTTCTACGTAACTTTACCGAAAGAACCAAGAAGATCTTAAATACAAGTTAAGGGGGAGGGGGGGGCTTATCTGAATGTGGTAGCTTGGGAATGCAACGGTCGGGGGGGCGGGGCTAGAAGAGAACAATGGTGCACATCGACTCGGGGTTGTGGCCGGTGTCAGCTGATAATCACCACGTGCTGTCAGGGGGGTCCTCGCTCCACTTCCGGCAGCCCGAGCAGCTGGCGGAAGTGACGCTTTCGGCGCGCCATCGTCCCCGCCCCCTCGCGTGACGTCACCGGCGTGCCAACATGGCCTTCACGCTGTACGCGCTCATCCAGGCGGCGCTGCTCTGCGTCAACGCCGTGGCGGTGCTCAACGAGGAGCGCTTCCTCGCCAAGGGTGAGGAGTGAGCGAGTGAGTAGCGAGTGAGCGAAGGAGTGAGGAGCAGTGAGAGAGTGAGTGTGGCCCACGCCGATCAACCTCGAGCCTGCAGCGGCTGGAATCGCGCGGCCTCTGGTAACGTCTTTGGGTGTCGTGGCAAGAAGTCGTCACGATCCGTGGTGGGGCAGATTTGCCTCTCGTGGTTCTGTGTGTGACTGCAAACTTTGTCATTTGTTTCCACTTTCCTCTGTCGTGCGTCGCTATTGTAAACTTGTAATGGCATTTGTTGGGAAAACTGTTACGTTGGTTATATCGCATTGTTTTAGTAAGTTTTAGAGGGGCTTGGTTTGGCCCGGTTTTTTTTATTTAGTATAGATTTCTATTTAAACAAATTCTAGATTTGAAGCTTTCGTGACTGCAAGGATTCATACTCTTAGGTTTTTTCGGTAAAGTCATGTAGGTAAAAATAATAAAAATAATAATAGAAATAAAATAATAAATCACGACGTTTCGGACTGTATCAAAACTTAATTTTATCTGTATTGTATTGACTGTTATTGGGATCAAACATCGAAATGGAATTTTTTGCAATTTCTGTACGCAGCATGGACGGGTTGTGCTTTTTTTGTAGGATTCTATTGTTTACGTACGTGATGTTCAGATTTGTGTGCACTGAATTTTAGGTGAATCTTGTAATTGTATTGTTTGTTGCGGTTGAACCCAAATCAAGAGCCGAATGGCTCACAGGGTAAATCCTAATGAGATTGTTGCCAAACAAACTTTAGATTTCCCGCCTGTTGTCACTCTCACACGTGTTCAAATAGTGTCAAATTCCTTCTCGACACTGCCTGCAGAAGTACGGTAACCAGAGAGAGTCCAGTGTTCTTCACTAATTTTCAGAGGGGTTGGAGGGGGGGTACTTTACCCGTTAAAGGGCCGACACATTTGACACCATTGGGGTTTGAGAGCACGAATGGAGTGTGTTCACATGTTGTCTATAGTCGGGGGCCGCACGAAAAGCCACCAGGGGCCGCCAGTGGCCCGCGAGCCTTGCAATGAAGAACACCGATGTAGTCATTCCGTCTAAAGACAGCCCCCCCCCTCCATAATCTAGTACTGTAGCCTAAACAAGACGAGTTGAGTGCTGTTCGAGAGCGCCTATGAAGGGCGGTACGGCAGGTGAGGGGGCTGGGTGGCCAGCACCGTTCAGAAATTCGCTAGCGGTGTGATGTTGGTGGCCTGCGAGTGAGAATCGGACTCGGAACTCCGAGGTTCGTAGCATCAGTGCGCTAACCTCCTCCCACCGCCTTCCTCCCTATGCCCCGTTTTGCACTAAATCTTTAAATATACATGCGCATAATGTACGGCTCTTTTGTAAATCCACTGCTGGATGACGCCCCTCCCCGCACAGTGGACGATGGCTGCACTGCCCCCTGCTGCCCACCGCGTTGTGCACGGTGGTGGTTGCCCTTAAAGTACAATATTCAGGCTCAAACATGTTTGAGATTTAGAGATCTGTCTGACGTTTGTTTTTTTCACAACAAGCTGTTGAGGTGGTTCAATTTATGTTCCATGGCTTGTCAGAAACTGACGTGGCCAAGTCATGCAGTTTCTTCCAATACGGGTATTTTTTTGTAACAATTGGAAGGTGCTGTGTCCATCCAAATAATTTTGTTCTGCCATGCTTTGTGTGACATGCCATTTCCATGCTCTCAAATGTATTGAGGTTACCGTGCCTTAGCTCCATAAGCCTTAGCCATGTCCGTTAATCCTAAAACTCACTGAATTAGCTCATCACAACCTTAATCTGAACAGGAGCAGCTGCTTGTAGATTTACATGGCCAATCTGTTTTCTGAAGCTTCTATACGCGCGGTGGTTTTGATGCAAAGCTCACTTTCTGCCCGTGGATCGAAACGTCGGACATGCCGAAATCAATTGGCGTGTTTGATGTGTGTATGCTTTGCCGTGTGGTAACAGTCGGCTGGGCGACTGAGCAGAGTGTGGGTGGCTTTGGAGACGAACCTGGTATAAAGTCGCAACTGATTAACCTCATCAAGTCGGTCCGGACGCTCATGCGAAGTAAGTCAGTGCGAGATTTGTAGCAGACACTCATTACCACGCTTGATCAACACAGCAGATGTTTTTTTATGTGCTTTCCAGTAGAATTTGATGAAGACTTGTAATTCCAAAGTCCATTGTTAACACTGCTAAAAAGAGAAATTGTGTAATCCTATCATGCCACACCTTGATTATTTTCACTGTGTTTTAAAAATACAGCTACTGCGACAATTTTCGATGCTTATTTTGTAAACAATATTAGCTTTTGTTTTGTACTGCATCTCTAAAGTGCTTGTGTTAACGTCATCGCTTATTTTGTCTGAAACCTGGTTGCTTCTTTGGATAGCACACATGAATTAACTTCCTAATTTAATCATGGGACCTCCTTTGCCAGTGCCAAAATATGAGAATAGGTTTCCCCCTTTTTTTTCTGGCAACAAAACAGGTGTTAAGATGTTAAAACACCAAACTGAAACATTTTACAAGGAATCATGTCTGCATTAACCACAATACTTGTGGTCAAAATGCAAACAAAAAACACCGTTTGAGGAGACTAGGTTCAAAAGAAAGCTGTCTCTGGTGTGCATATATTATCAGAGTATGTGGTTAATGCAGACATGATTCCTTGTAAAATGTTTCAGTTTGGTTTTAAAAATCTTAACACCTGTTTTAGTTGCCGGAAAAAAGGGGAAAACCTATGATCATATTCCTAATTTAATATTTATAGTACAGTGCTGAGTTGCTCATATGCACTTTTGTTAAAATAGCTATTTAAAAACAAATATTCATCTTTTGCTATTCTGAAAATAACATAAGCCTGAATGTAATTTTTTATGTAATTTTGTTGTGTATTTTTGAGATGTTAACAATTGTAATTCATAAATTATATTATCTATCTTTGGAGCAATAATTCAACTTATTCTGAAAATATACCTAATGTGGTTAGGTTACACAGGATAACAATTTAAATTGGGTTATATCACGATTTAAATCAATCACCAATGTCTACTGCATGAAAAAAATGATACAGTATTTCACTGTTCCCATAATAAATAATCATATGTTCACTTCAGTTATCAGTGTCCACAAATGAGCAGCCTTCTCCCATTGTCGTTAATCCATTCATATTCAGGGAAGTACTGCGTCGCTTACTTGTACATTGGGAAACAATGTCTTCAGAGGAGGGAGTAGTGGTATTGCAGCTCATCACCTGGCCACCTGGGTTCAATTCCATATAATTCCCCCACTCCCTTCAACCAGCACAACCCCATGAACGAAAGTCTTCATCCTGCAGTGATTTAACAAAGGGATGTAGATTATTCCATAAACAGCAATAACAGTTATTGTGGTATAATTGTGTGCGTGTGTGTTACAGTACCACTAATTGCTATGAACACGGTGACGATCGTCCTACTGCTGCTGTTTGGATGAGTGGAATCGACCCAAAATGAAGAGACTTGCAGCCAAGAAACATGAGACTTGTTGAACATTTCCATTACCTACTCTGTTTTGGTGTGTTTTTTGTTTAACTACACGTGCAATGAAATGCAGCCTACCCAATTTTTTTTTCTGATGTAAAATTAGGAATTGCACAATCGGTTAATGTATTCGGGAACAAATGTCTTGCTGTATTGCCTTTTTTGATAGTGCAATTCGATCTGATAAGCAATTAAAGTATCAATTTACAGTCACATTGAATAAAGCATACTTCATCAATCAGAAAATGTAAGACAATGCCTATTAAACGAATTCAGAATAAAGTCGCAAGTTACTTTTTATTTTCTTGCTTTGTCATTATTTCCAGTTGGAGGCTTAACCACGTAATTATTTTAGACGTGGGGTATTAGGAGACGAGAATGAAGTTTAGGTTCAGTGACTTCATGTTTTATTACATAAAAGGTTTGTATATTAAGCTCGCAAGCCATTAAAACATCACATGAACGTCTTTCGTTGTGATATGCACATATAAATGTAATTACACTTTATACCACTCATTCATTACATATTAGACAATACTTTTGTTTTATGTAGTCGAACACATGACTTGCAAGAACGCATGGTATTTTAATATGAAATAAACTTCAGCTTCACACTGATACTTCTGAAGTAATCTACACATCTGCTTTGGATTAATGTACATGAACTTTATAATCAAGTGTGATTATAGATATCAATGCATAAAACGACATCACAAACTAGATGAGGAATAAACATGTTTCAACAAAATATAAAACTCCGTGGGCGTCGAGGCGATATACCTTGGCTTGCCAGAAGGTGGTACTGTACAACAAATGTGGACTCCACCTGTTCCACAGTATTTCCCATCACGCGTGGGTTTTTTTCCGTGTGCTCCAATTTCCTCCCATGTGTAAACACTCAATACACGTTGAGTTTCATTTTTTGTAAACTAGTAGGATAAAAGTCGTATTTTCTGCATCTATGTTGACGTTTTTTTCGGAGATTATTTGAACTTTTGTTACCTATTTTTGGTGTAAAAAGATCTACGCTTGTTTACAACATCATTAAAAAATTTTCGAAGAATTGACAACTTTCTGATCGTGGTTATATTCTTGAAAGCTTTTCGCTTAAAGATTCGGATGTGTGATAAACCAGGTCGGTAATTCTTTATATTTTTTCTGAATGCAAAAAAATCTATCTTCATTTTCCGAAAGTGGGTGTCTCGGGACAGAGCACTGACATGTGAACTAGGACTACTGATCCTGGATTTGAATATATTGGGAGCCACCCGTCAGTAATCGGGGTTCTCAACGTGAAGTGAGTTGATGGTCTGAGCCCAGTAAACATACAGTACTTCACAAAAATCTAATTTAATCTGTTTTTGAACATTCTTTTATTTGAAATATGTTTTGCCTACCGTTTGATGAATAATGTATTGTTCTTTTCTTCTGTAGCAGAACATGTGGAAAAGTGTTCTCCCTATTGTGTAGATAAATCACTTTAAGGGATCTCATTACTTTATCTTCTGCTGGCCATTCTGAAATACGATGCACTGATCTGCCCTGAATGGATGCTTGGCTCGTGACATGACTCCGGTGGTCCATTGCAATACAATAGGGAAGATGACAAAACATTTAATAACTATCTCCTGTATGCTTATGTTCCTGCTGGGACTGCGATGTTCATTCTGAAGACTGTTCGTTTTCCCTGGATATTGCTCCGTCTTTTGTATAAACCCGATGAGCAATATGTAATTTAAATACACATTTTTTTTTCTTAATAAAATCTATACGTATATTTTGAAACTATAATCCAGGCATCAATCTGACCATCAAAGCAATGTGCATTATCTTACTGGCTTGTTGGACATTTCCACCAACAAATATGTTGTTTCCTGGAATAATTCTAAATCACGCCTGGCATTTGTTACATTTTTGTAATGCAGTTTTGCACGTACCACACTTTGAACCTGGCAACCTGTGTTTGATTCCTGGCTACGGCGAATATCGGTGGCGGGTGAATTACGAATCGGTTATGCGCTCCTCCACGTAGTAGGATGGGCAAAAAAGCATTGCCCGTACTATATAGTACATCAATTAATGCAGCCTGCTGTCGTCTGCCTCATTTCGACGTTTTGATTTGGTCTGTGTTCAATGGTTGTCCTTGGTACACGATAATCTGCTTTGTTTTCCAACTGTCCCTCCGACATATATCTTATTATTTAAGAGAACGTGTTCTACATTACGTGTTATACAGGTAATTTATATGTCACGAAATTCGTTTTTCAATGTTTGCCAATGGGCATCCTGTTTTCTCAATGTTAGCCTACGGGCATTCGTTTTAGCGTGTTTCTCCGTCTTTTACTCATTAACTGGTCTAATGCTTGACAACTATTTTTTGACCTGAATTTCGGTTATAACCATTCAATGAAGATTTTTATTTTTGCCACTGACATTTTCTCTCCGCTTCTCCCATCGATATTTTCCAGCTTTCTAATTGTTCATTCAGGTCTCTCCTTCTCTCTGCTCTTGGTTTCTCTTTTATCGTCGTGGATTTTTAAGGGTCTTTGACTCCACCATGGGTATCTCTGTATCCTCTCACGCATTTGAATGTACAAATGTACACTCGCACTTCTGTTAGGCGCATTGTCCCCTTGCCACACGTCCAGTTTTCATTCTTTCAACTTGAAACGCGCAGAGTATTCGCTCACTCTCCAAGGCAAAGGCGCGAAAAACCACAGAGAAGACATTTGTGCGCCTTATTTTCCCAAGCCAATATTTTCCCAAGCTCTGCGGTCCGCTATATATTAAGGTATTATCAGCAATTTAATGCATGTTTGCGGAGAAAACCCATACGTATGATGGGTAAACTATCCCATTCAGACGTAACAGGTGGAGTCAACATTTTTGCTGTACTGCATTCTTTTGGCAAGTCAATTCGCTGTATGGCAACGTGACGCCCACGGGAATTTTCACAACAATTTTTTGATCTACCAACCCTCGCCTCCAAAATTATTGTTGTCGAGATTTTAACCTGCCACCTTCAGTCTCTGGGGTCGTCTCCCATCTTTCTGGGCTACCGCGTGCTCACACAGGACTCAGGAGGAGGATGCCACCCTCCACGTGGGCGAGAGGCTGCTGCACCAAGCGCGCGCACGTGGCCGATTTAAACACGTGGCCTCGACTACGTTTTCACGCTCGATGACATCATAGCGTGGAGAGCTTGTGACGTCATCGCGTTAATCGGTCGACCAGAATTAGAATGCTGTTATATTGGAGGAATCCGATGAGCTAATGCCCATAGGGGCAGATCAGAACGTTACAATAACAACAACAACCAAAAACACGATAGGAGTGGTAAATATAGGAAAGGTAAACACATCACTAAAAATATATATACTAATAAAAATTAACTATTTTTTTTAAAAATCTTACCAGACAAGGCTCACTGAGCTATTTCAGAAGCGGCCTGTCACAAATGATAGCTCAACGAAGTGGCTTATCATGTGGACATTTATCTCCGTAAAATAATCTAAACTATTTAGACGCTATATTCTTGGTTCTTTCGGTAAAGCCACGTAGAAGGAAAATAATAAAATAATAAAAATGTAAAACAATAAAAGCTTTAAATCAAAATGTATCTATACGCTATCTGATAATAATTATGATAATAGAGTTTGCATTGAGTGTTGGACCCTGAGACAATATTCCTCTGCCTTTTGATTTGTTTAATTTAAAAAAAATTGCCGTTTCGTTCACGTTATTTATTCAGTACTGTACTGAAAAGGACCGTTATATTTCATACACCGCATTAGCAGAGGGTGCCCTCGTACCTGCATCTGATTGGTGGGCGTCTCGCTCGCTGACCAATCGGAGGCGAGGAACGCCCCCGCGGCGCTCATGAGAACTGGGATATACAAAGAGGGTTCGATAATCCTTCGCCGGTTGTTGACGAGGCCGCCGCTTCGTGTTTCTTTAAAGTTCGACAAGAGGCGGATAAAAGTAACGTGGAGTGAGTGTCGCGATCGATCACATCGCCTCTTAACGCCAACACCACGTGCGCTCGTAGTTGTGTTAAACAAAGAGGGGGGAAAAAACTGCTCAATGTCAGCCGCTTGCCGTGTTCGCGTTCCTTAGGTTTCCGGGTTCTAGAACATGTTGCCTTGAATGTTTTAATAACAATTGATGTGTAGTTTGTAGTTTCCTCTAACATGTTTAATGATGACTTGTTTACATCCGCTATTGGTATTGCGTGTTGTGGTGTCGCAGTCTTGTGTAACAGTTGCCTTCGTGTACAGTAGCGCTGTTGTGTCGTCTACAGTTTTTAGTTCTTAGCTCTGTAATTTATTAAAATACTAAAGACTTATTAAAGAGCGTGTGTTTAAAGCTTCTCGGTTGATTGTGTGTGTGTGGTGGATTTAAAGCCGACGTAGGGTGTGCTAATTAAATGCTGCTGGAAAATAACGCATTGGTCCTGAGGGACAGGTCAGCTGATGGCTGGCTGGCTGGCTATGAATGTTATTTTCTTAAAGTTTATATTTTTATTGCGAGATAAACCTTTATTTTGTTTAACTTTTCTACGATAAAATATCCCGCAAAGAGTCCGTTCTGGGAAGCAAGCTGGGATTCAACCCCGATCGTATTTGGATGGGTAACCAAATCATAAGCTTTGGTGACTGCAAGGATTCATACTCTTAGGTAATTTCGGTAAAGTCACGTAGGAAAAATAATAATAAATGAATTGATTTATTTTCATTTATTAGTATTTAATTTTTTATTTTCATTTATTAGTATTTTATTAAAAAAATGTATTTTACCTACGTGACTTTACCGAAAAAACCTAAGAGTAGGTTAATGGTCTTCATAGCTACTACATTGGTGGTCATGACGGCGTCGATATTAGTAATACTGTACAGTACTTCTGTGCTCCCACAGTATTAATTCATCGGCCACTCGCGCTGATCAGCATGGTTAAATTACGGTCAATTAATCACCACCCTTACCGAAGGAGATGTTCCTCATTCAGCACTTGATTGGCAAAGGGCCGTACATGTACATCGGAGGCGTAAGAGTGGACCAAAGGGACATCGACCTATGTTTACCACCTATAGTCCAGCACAGTGGATATACATTTTGTGAGGTGGACAACTTCACAGAGATCCTCATTATGGTGAGCTCGAAATTGCCTCGAGACCACGAGGTCGACCTCGGTTCGTATTCAAGGACGTTGGCGACAGAAACTTCAAATACGTCCTACGTCGGTGACGTGAAACTGCGTGAGGCTATTGTCTTGCGCGATAAGACGGATACCACTGACGATG